TCAAAATCATCAATTATACTAGAACAAACAAATTCTCGATTACAAAACTAAAGGAATTCTCTGAGTCATTATTTCAACAATTACGTACTGCGACAGTATTTGCCATCCGTTTTTAGATTCAGTATCCCTCAACCGCTTGCAAAAAATTCAAAATTTATGTTGCAGATTAATCTGTAACTTGAAAAGTATGGCCACCTTTCCTCCTCTTTCATAAAATTGGAATGGATGTCTATTCCTGGTCTGTTTGAATTTCATTTACTATGTTACATTTATAAACTTTTTCTTAGCTCAATTCCCCCATTTTTCAAAAATAAGTTAAAGTTTCGTGATTCCATGCACTCGTGTGGTATTCACTTTGTTGATACAAATACCATGCCCCCCCAAAGAGCTTCATTTTCACAATTCAAAAAGGAATTTAAAAAAATCATTTTCGAGCGATTATTAACATAAATTTATCTCTTACTTCTGCTTATATGCATTAACACCATTTTATTTGTATGTATAATGATACACCGTTCCCGTTTATCCAATTTTGATTTATTTTGCTAAAATAATTTGTTTTCATGTCGCATTTCTAGTGGCATATATATTGTTTTTATTGTTTATTTTGTAGATAAACATTTTACGGGTTAAGTTATTAGGATAAACTTCGCCCAATAGATACGTTTTATCATTATTTTGATATTGTACGTTAAAAATTACGGGACATCCTAGAGGGTGTTTAACAAGTCGAGACCAAAAATAAAACATCATACACAGGACCGCATTCTGAAGTGGGTCTTCTATGTGAAATTTTTTCCTCGAGGGCTTCATGAAGAATATACGGTGGAAATTGAAAAAGTAAAAAAAACGTTTTTTTAATATCTTCAAAATTAGTGGCATTATTTTTCCAAATAGAAATGGTGCCCCACTGTACCCACATTTTTTCTCATTTTACCTTCAATTTGCTATAAATAATTACTCTTGTGTTTTTTCCTAGGGTGCATTGTTTTCTTAAAAATAAGAAAAAAAGAACAAATTAGATAAGCAGCATTCAAAAGATCAATATAGGTGTGCCTCAGAGGACGGTTTTGGGAACAACACTGTTCCTCATATACATAAATGAACTTCTTCGATGCAATTTGAACCATAAAATGATATCATATGCAGGCGATACTGTTTCAGTTTGCACTGGTCATTCATGCGATGACGCAATACGGAATGCCGAGTTGTCATTAAATAATGTCAAATGCTGGTTGGATAACAATTTACTTAAACTTAATGTCTCTAAAACTAAGTATGTGACTTTTTCTCCAACCAAAATAGGCATTCCATTACACCACCGGACATTAATTATAAATGATAGTGCTGACACTGTCGAAAGAGTTGAAGTTATTAGATACTTAGGAATCATTGTTGACAGTAATTTAAAGTGGCAGAGTCTTGCCGAGCTTTTGACATCGAAATTAAGGAGAATTATTTATAAGTTTTTCATTCTTAGGAATATTTTAAGCAGAAAGAGTCTTCTCTCAATATATAACTCATATAACTTACGGGATAAGTATATGGGGAGTAGTACTTTAAAAATATTACAAACCAGGCAAAATTATATTGTCAGGACTATTTTTCGTATCCTATGTAGATCAAGTTGCAGATTCGTTTACATTGAAAATGATCTTTTGAGTGTTAGAGGTTTATATATTTTTACTGCTCTGAAATTTGTTCAATCCAGAAACAATGTTCCAACCAGCCACGCTTACGAAACAAGAACTAAAATAAATAACGGGTGATTTTTTAAGAGGCATAGGATTTGATTTTCAAAAAAACACAAAAAATTTGAAAAAACGATTAAATCTTTATTTGAGTCGATAGAACGGTCGATATAATTTAATGTTTAATCATTACTTCATGTAAATGTTGGCCGCGGCTCCGCTTTAGATGGCCCATGCGCAAGGTCCAATTTTGGCACACTCTCTCCAACATATCGGCCGGTATCTCACGAATAAATGCTTCAATATTGGCTTCCAGTGCGTCAATCGTTGCTGGTTTATCCCTGTAGACATTAGCCTTAACATGGAAACACAAGAAAAGGTCTAACGGCGTTAAATCACACGACCTAGGCGACCAATTGACGGGACCCAAACGTGAGATAAACTGTTCACCGAACTCGCCTCTCAATAGGGCCATTGTTTCGTGTGCGGTGTGGCATGTGGCACCGTCTTGTTGAAATCACATGTCAGCCAAGTCCAGCTCTTCCATTTTGGGCAAAAAAAGTTTGTTATCTTCGCACGGTAGCGCTCGCCATTCACAGTTACGTTCCGGCCATTGTCGTCTTTGAAGAAGTACGGCCCGATGATACCACCGGCCCATAATCCACACCAAACAGTGATTGTTTCGGGATGCATTGGTAGCGCTTGCAATGCTTCTGGCTGGTCTTCACTCCAGATATGCGGCAATTTTGCTTGTTAACGTACCCATTCAACCAGAAATGAGCTTCGTCGCTGAACACAATTTCGATAAAGATGTGGATCTTCCTCCAACTTTGCCAGCGCCCATTCACCAAATTGGAAACGTTGTGGGAGGTCGTGTGGCTTCAATTCTTGCACCAGCTGTATCTTATAAGGTATTACACCCAAAACCTGTCGCAAGATTTTCCACGTAGTGCAGTAACAGAGGTCCAATTGCTGCGAACGGCGGCGAATCGACATTTCACGGTCATCACTAACACTGGCGGATACAGCCGCAATATTTTCTTCAGTCCTCACTCTAAATTGCCAATAAATTGGAAGCAGTGCTCGATGCACTCTCTTAACCGAGCATGAATTTTGATAGTAAAATTCAATTAGTTGCAAGCGTTGTTCGTTCGTAAGTCGATTCATGGTTAAATTATAGACCAAACTGAACAAGTTTGACAATGACACAAGACACGATTCACGCGTCATCTGTCAAAAACAGTGTTGCCAAAAAGATACTAGCAAAGAATCACCCATTATAAGTTACACTTATAACAGAGTGACTAAATCTGTTTGCCAAAAATGCATAAAGTTTTACTACTAGGTTGTATAATAAATTACTCCAAGAATATAAAACCCTCTCGAGGTATAGTTTCAAAAAAAGAATTAAGAAGTTAATCTTAAATAACTTTGACATGCTTGCATCGATTGTAGCTTGACTCAACCCAGTCATTTCGTTTCTATCTAATGTTTTTATATCTTTTTTTTATATACAATTGCGCATAATACACTTTATGACCATTAGCCATGCATTGAATTTGTATATTGTGTGACACAGACAAGCTTAGAGCTTAGGTATCTATTCTTTGTAGTAAATAAAAAATAAATTATTTTTAAAAAAATAAATATAGAAATTAATATTATATAATTGGGATGAGTAGCTGGTATAAGGCAGCTGTTATAATATTAATGTTAATATTGTAAAATTATTATCATTCTAATGGAAAATAAACATATACATAAACATAATTTAAGCTTTGTTTCAATAAATGTTCAAAAAGACCACCATTCTGACGGATACACGTGCGGCGTCTTTTTAATAAAGAAAAACATATTTCCTCAAAATTTTTTGTGGTATGAATTTGATAAAACTCATTATCTATTCTTTATTATAACTGGTCAACAGTATTAATTTGTTCAACATATACTAGTTGTTTGAAAGCGCGCCACAAAAAGAAATCCAGGGGGTTCAAATCAGGATACCTCTCAGGCCAATGTACGTGTCCATTCCTGCCAATCCGTCGTTGCCTAAAATGATTGTTTGACCATGCTGTTATGTCGTGACGAACATGCGGTGGGGCACCGTCACATTGATACTCTCGCTGCTAACGGAACACCTTATTTATCTTATTTTCTATGTAAGTTTCTATAAAAGCTAAGGATGAGTTAGCATTTAAACATTGTGATAATACGTGCATAGACAGTTGGCCATTGAAAATGCCGAACCAGACATTTCTAGTAAATCTGTGTTGAAACGAGTGGAATCTTACAGAACGGAGATTTTCGAGTGACCAAATATGTTCATTATCCTCGTAAAAATCGATTTATCTATCCACAAAAACAAATCAATAAAAGCTGCATTTTGATTAAGCATTTGCCATAGCCACTCTCAGAAATTTCGACGTTGCACTTCGTCGCCGACTTGCAGACATTGCACATTTTGCCGATGGTAAGGATGTAAAACTTCCCGATTTAAAATTCTCCAAACAAGACTTTGGAAACATAGTAACTGGACTGAAATTCGCCTAGTACTTGTACCAGCATCATCCAATACCAAATTAATCACTTCCAGTACCTCTTGAACAGTATGCCTGACACCAAGGCCTCTAACTCCGGAAAGTTTGGCAATCCCATATTGCCGAAGCCTTAGAAATGCATGCGTAAATACCTTTGGGGTAGGTTGGCGTCTGTTAGGAAATACGTTGATGCTCCCAAAAAGTTGCTAACGCTAAAGCATTTCCATTACAGAACCCGTACACAAAAATGTTATCGGCATACTCATCGTTGCTAAATTACATTTCACAACACCCAAAAATGAAAAAAGAAGCTTTTGACTTGACTTTTACAAAAAAAAAGAATGGTAGCAGTATCGATAACAATCGTACAACACATAACTTTGACTAACTATTTTCCAAGAAACGTCAAGTTTGTATCAAGGCCTCCTATTTCATTTTGAAACAAATTGTATCTTGGCTCTTGATCTAATTTGATTTAATTTTTATTTTAACGAAAACAGTGCACTCTAGGAAAAAACACAAGAGTAATCATTTGTAGCAAATTCGAAAAATTGCGCGTTTAGAAAAAAAAAACACCACGTATCTTTTTAATGAAGCGCTTGAGGAAAAAATGTTACATAGAGAACGCCGCTTAAAATGCGGTTCTATGTATGGCGTTTCATTTCTGGTCACGACTTGTGAATCACCCTGTATAGCGACATCATCAGGCATCCATGCAGATTCACCTTAAGATAATGTTATTTTCTTCTTCTTCATACGAATTCCTTTACAGTGTCTGTGGTTCGAGGACCATGCAGTAGACTGGATATACAAAGGACCACAACTCGTCGTACTGCTACTGAACGTAATGTTCCTTTTGGGTATAATGTGGGTACTAATCACCAAACTGAGGACATCGAACTCGCTGGAAATGCAGCAGTACCACAAAGCTGCGAAAGCACTACTGGTATTGACGCCCTTGCTCGGTATCACTTACGTGGTCACCATTTACAGCCCAGGTATCACTGATGAAAGGGTAGACGTCTTTGAGTGTGCCAGAGCTGTTTTGCTATCGACGCAGGTAATATTTCCGATATGATAAATGACGTCCAACTGTAATAATAACTGTAACTGTAATAATGAGCCGTATTCATGAAAAAGGATATCCTTGTACTTTGACATTTTGAAGGAAATACCCCAGATGGCATTTTTTAATAATTTGAAGTAAATGATTTTGCTTTTTGAGTATAAGCATATCCTTCAAGTCAGTGATATAAGTAAAATGATATTCATAATCTTCACCTTATACTTGGTATAGGGAGCATACCCTTCAAAAATTCTGATTGTGGTCAGTAGCAAAATCAACTTCATAGCGAATGGTGGTCAAACGATGATGGCGGAAATTGTGGGTGTTAGGGATGTTAAAACGTACAAACCTCGTTTACCTTCACTTGGTCGAAAATCATATCGGTTCGACGAAGCAAATGTACAATGGATTGCGGACAGATTTTTAGTTGAGAATGAGGAAACTCGAGGAGGAGCACTTTCATGTATTCATAAAATGAAGATATGTCTACGATATCTCGGTGACCCTGGGTATCAACAAGGTATTGGTCAGGAGCTTGGTGTTAGTCAAGGAACGGTATCTCGGACTGTGGATAGAGTTGTGAACAGCATAATTGCACAGTCGAATGAATGAATCAAGTTTTCAACTACAAACCATGAACTGATGGAGGCCAAGCGGATATGGCTAAGCATGTATAAATTTCCGACAGCAATTGGTGTAATTGATTGTACACATATAGGAATCCTGAAACAAAATCGCCATGGAGATGAGTATATCAACCGAAAAGGGAAACCTACTTTAAATGTGCAAGCCACTTATGAAGCCAGAGAGATGTTCACAAATGTTGATGTCAGTTGGCCTGGATTAGTGCATGATTCCAGAATATGGAGACTAGATCACAACTAATAAATAAAGCAAATGTTGTACTACTTGGCGATGACTGTTATGGTATTGAGCCATGCCTTATGACTCCCTTCAGAAATCCTACTCCAGGTGCAGAAATAAATTATAATAAGCTTATAAAACAAGAAATAGCTATAATTGAATGCTGTTTCGGCCGACTGGAACGGCGGTTTCCTATCCTATAGTATGTTTTCCGCGTAAAGTTGTAAAATGTGCCGAAAATAATTATAGCTTGTATTGTACTCCATAATATTGCGATGAGCTTGGGCGATCCTGAGTTTGAGTTAGTTGAACAAGACCCAGATGAAGATGAAGGAAATCATGAGAATGACGAAGTTCCTCTCCGGTAACTAGGTCAACAAATAAGAAGAAATTTGAGTATTATAATAAATAGTTTTACTGATTAACACGTACACGCGTTGGCTAAAAACCTAAGTTGGCCTGATATGCATTACGGGGCAAACTTGACTCGTACTGAGTTGGCCCGACATGCGTTACGGGTGAAATATACCTCGTAGTCAACAATGAAGTTTTTATTTTTTTTGCTAAAATAAAAGCTTTTCACCACACAGTAACAATTATAAAAGTACCTTTAATCTAAAACAGATCCAGGAAAAACTAAAGTTAAATAATAGTATTTTTACGATAGAAAAAAGTAAAATATTATGCATTTTTGCAATAATATTAAAAACACTTTCCTTAATATTAAACTAAAACAGTCAAATCCTAAGCTAAAATATAGAAACAGTCAAATTATAAGCTAAAATATGATGTCATTTATATAAAAGAAAAGTAAAATGTTGATTTTGCAATACAAAATGACTAATGGGCTTCATTAAAACAAACTAAGCAGTAGGCCGGCTACTCATTGTTCTTCTTAGTAATTTGTAGCATCCTACACATGTTCTCCTCTTTTTGTTTTCGATTTCCCCTACAGTAAGTGTATGGTATCAGGAGTTCTTGGCCGTTCTGGTTGCAATTCTTCTCTGCCACACTGATAGAAATATCTCGCTAGTTTTTCTCTAAATTGGAGAATTGTGAGCTTGCTAGTTGGATGTTGATGATTAAATATAACCCAAGCATTGAGGATTGCTGAATAAAAAACTAATTCAATTGCAGTTTTTTTGTACCATTTTATACTCTTTCGGAGGGGGCTCTGGTAAGATGCCATCTGGTCACTGTAATCGACACCTTTTTTGCGTTATTGTAATCGATTACACATTTTGGTTTTTTACAGTCTGTCCTTTTCTTATTTTTCCTGTATTAACTAATGATGTATCGTGATTTTCACAGATTGAGAGAAACAGAACCGGTATTTTATCTACCCACTTCATAATATTTATGCCCTCTGACTCTTTTGCAGCTATATTTTTAGGAACAGTTTTGCGATTCTTTCTCAAGGTACCTCAAATTCTTGTTTTTTGGTCTTCAAATATTTTGCCAATTCATAAGAAGTATAAAAATGATCGCAATATAAAATGCGGCCGCATTCATAGTAGTCACTAAGTGATGAATCCACTATAAACTCTGCGTGGCCGACGGTACGATACGTGTCTTATTTACCCGAATAAATTTTGACATTAATCACATAACCATCGATATTGCAAAGTTTATAAAGTTTCACACCATATTTGTGGGATTTATTTTTTATATATTGTTTCATTCTTAGGCGCCCCTCCATGGTATCATAGACTCATCTGTAACTACTTTTTTTGGAACAATCACTGCTTCTTTAAATGTCTTTGTCAATCTGTCAATCAAATGGCGAATTTTGAACAGTCTGTCTTCGCCAGTATCATCTAAGTTATTCATGAAATGCCAGCATCTTAAAATAATTAAAAATCGGTCCCTTGTCATACAAGATGATATAAATTTATTATGATATAAGGAATCTTTGGACCAATATAAATTCGTTATTGGAGCGTTCACAATTCCCATGGCTATTACTATGGCCAAACAGTTTTGCAATTCATTATGATTTCATAAATTTAGTCTTGATTTAGGTTTGTTTTCTTGTGACATCAAATTTTCAGCATATCTATTAGCCTCTTGAACCGTTTTCTCGATCAACTCGTCATTAACAAACAACTTCAAAAGATCGATATGGGAAGAAAGGTCAGGTGGTACATTAAAACTGATTTCATTATCACACAAAGTAGCAAACAATTCGCTAGAGGGCGTTGATATATCGACCCAAGTTATATCAGACGGGCCAGGAGCATTTTGTGAGGCATTAATTTGGCTTAAAGGGAGCATATCTTGGGAGACTTCGAACTCATTTTCATCGCTGGATGAACTATCACCGGATGAACTTGTATGTAATCTTTGTCCATCAGCCAGTCATCTGACTCTTCATAAAACGAACACTCGGACTCCGACTCCGACTCACTTTGCCTTGACATAGCTTGTACAAGATGAACAAGTTTTTTTCCACGAGACATTTTAGTACCACCCACGACGGCGTATGCTTGCCAACTGAATTAATTGACTGTAAGGTATTGTGCTCTAATTCGAGAAAAATTCTGCATAGACTTGTCTAAAATAATGATTAGATGCGGGTCGTAGTAAAATTAACCCGTAAACGTGTGACCCCGTACCGCAAGCAAGTAAAAATTAATAGGTTGTATGCGTTTCGGGTCTATTTGGGTCGTACTGTTTTTTTTGTCGAAGAAAAATAGTACTTAACTTGCAATTATATAGCTATAAAAATCTTTTTTTTATCTTAAAAAATAAAAATTTGACAAGCTTCGCAATATGGAATACCTTAGGCAAAATGCCCGCCGCACCAGTGCGATACGAGTCATATTAGCCCGTAACGCAGTGAACGTGTTAAAGTGTATTTATAAGTTATAATAAGTTCTACTTTCGTGAACATCATAAGTTACAGGTGGCTTCTGACGCTGCATCATTTCTAATTTCGTTTTATAATACTCTTGTTGTAAAATACTTGTTTGGTACTGCTGTAATAGCACTAGACATTGCTGTTCTTTTGTAGTTAACCCTTTGGTTTCCTCAGTTTCGTATTTCTCGGCTGCTAATTTTCTTTTCGGTGGCAATGTCTTCTGAATTGCTGGCGCTGAAATACTAACTGTTTGCTCGCTGCGCTCGGTATATAGTTCATTTCCTTCTTCATGAACACTACCAACCTGAATGGCACCTCTAATTTTCCCAATTGTAGGATTACAGTCACTTTCCATAGCTTTCAACAACTTTATTTCCCAATATAACAATTTAATTGCTTTATTACCAGTTTTTTTTAGATCTGTTTTTTCTTCAATCTTGATTTCATGTTGTTGATTTTTATCAATAAGTATCTAATGGTTTATCAAATGTTGGTTCGTATTTTTCCAACATCTTATTCAAGGCATCGTCCTTTCTCACCCTTATTATAAGAACTTGTGACTTTTGCAAAATAATGGGAGCTATGGCAATTTCATCTGCGTCGAACTGCAGGTCGTTGCCATTATTTTCTATAGTTTCCTCATCACTTGAGCATGACATTCTTATTAATTTGATAAAAAACTATATCCAGTAAAAATACGGAGCGGTCCGTTTAAGCTCTGGAGTACAATCGTCAGTGATGCTGAGTGAACCAACTCCCACGTCAACTACAAGCTTTAACAAGTCAGGACATGTCGCTCAAGATACAAATACCAGTCAACCTTTTACTTCTTCTTGGAGGATATCCTCGCGAGTATAAGGTAATCATTATGAATATGAAAACAAGGATATGCTTATACTTCTACCTTTTTTTCCATAGCAAGACTTTATACCTTTACCTTATGCTTCCGAGGATATGCTTCTCTTTTATGAATACGGCTCGATAACACACGCCCACAAGAAGTGGTGTAGAGGTCTGTAAATTAACTGATGAGAATGGCAACGTAGCGTTCGATCCTGCAACACTGGAGGCGTCGGACTTCAAGAGACACAGGGAAACAAGTGATCCGCCTTCAGTACAAGTTTAAACTCGCTCGAGCCATTTGGTTGTTCGTAGCGATTTTTTGTTGTGAAACAGTCTCTACTATTGTGATCTAAGAATTAATGCTATCAATTTCGGGCAATGGTGTGCTATCAGGTTATCAGAGTTAAATTTGACTCACACCGGCGTT